CCGCTCTGCTGGCGGCCCGGGTCCGGCAGCAGGAAGATGGACGCGCCGACGAGGGACTTGTCGTTGCTCGTCGCGTCGCCGCAGTCGCCGGGGAGCCGGACGACGGAGAGCACGCCGACGCGGCCGACGACGTGGCGCGGCTCGACGATGAAGGTGCGGCCCGCGTAGATGTTCGGCACGCGCAGCGCGCTGCCGCCGTCGCGCTTCGGCCGCGGCTGGACGCCGCAGTAGAACTCGACGACCGACGTCGTAACCTCGTCGCCGTCCGGCGACGTCCGCAGCGGCACCCTCTCGCCGTAGGTGAGGCGCATGGGGTGGCGGTTGTCGAGGATGACGCCCTCGCGATTCTCCGGCATCTCCGGCAGCGCGCAGAACTCGGGCGTCAGCGGGCTCGGCGCCGCCTCGGCGACCGTCGGCGCCGGCGCCCGCTCCGGCGCCTGGCTCGAGCGCCGGAAGGACTTGGCGAAGCCACGGATGGACATGCGCGTCGACTGCTTCCGCGCCACCTCCTTGGCCGCCACGATCTGCTCCATGGCGACCGAGTCGCGCCCGGCCGCGCGCCGACGACGACGACGATGTGCCGGGCAGCCTCACTGCGATCGGTTTCAGCACTCGAACTTGCACTCGAGATACTTCAGGAGTGCAAGTACGAGAAGATGCCCTTTTTTGAATTGGGAGCTGCGCGTGCGATTGGGGACGGCGCGTCGCCGCGCGCGGCTCGCAGCGCCGCGGGACGACGGCGACCCCAGCCAGCCGCGGCACACGTCTTCCTGGCGTTTCTTATGAACTTGGCGGCGCGCGCGCGCTCGGTCGTCGCGGGGCCGCGGCGCCGGCGGACCCCGCGGGTTTCGGCTCGTCGCTCACGCGGCGGCGGCCTCGGCCTCGGCCTCGGGCTCCGCCGCGGGCTCCGCGGCCTCCTCGGCGGCGGGCTCCTCGGCGGCGGGCTCCTCGACGGCCGGCGGCGGCGACGTCCAGTAGTTGTCCATCTGGCTGTCCAGCGCCTTGCCCGGGTCGCTCTTGTACCAGTAGGCGTCCATCTCCGCCTCGAGCTCCTCCGCCGTCTTCGACTTCTCCTTCTCGCCCTTGCCGCCCTTGCCGCGGCCGCCGCCGCGGCCGCCGGCCTTCTTGCCGCCGCCGCGGCCGCCGCCGCCGCCGCGGCCGCCCTGCTTCTTGCCCTGCTGCTTGCCGGGCGACTTCTTGCCGGCGGCCGCGGGCTTCTTCGTCGCGACGACGACCTTCATCCTGCGCGGGGCGCGCGCGTCGGCGGCGGCGCGCGCGGAACAGTAACGCAGGAACATGCGTCTTCTTGCCATTCCCTTGCTTGGCCTTGTTGTTCTGCTGTTTCTTAGCCGGAGACTTGGCGCCGCCGCCCTTCTTGTTGTTGCCTCTGCCGCCCTTCCCTTGCTTCGCCATGATCGACTCGCTGCGACGGCGGCCCGAGTGACAGAGCAGCCGCGATCACGAGCGCTGCGGCCACTCGGCCTGAAGCCAAAATCGGCGCCGCCCGCCGGGGGGAAAGAGCGATGGTATTCGTCGAGAGGGCTGGGGAAGCGACACGTCTCTCTCCGGCGGAACTTTGAGAAGCGAGATGGTCGCTGGAGGAGGCGATGGCGTCGCCCGGTGCGCTCACGGAGGCGTCGCATGACCCGGGGCCCGCGGCGCGGTGCCGTGGCCTTGGCTGCGGCGGCCTCCGCGACGCCCTCGTCTTGCCCGCGCGCGCCGCCGCCGACGGGCGCAGCCCTCGTTGCCCGTCCGCGCCGCCAAGACCGAGCACTCACCATGTCCCGGCGGAGCAAGCGCTTCCGCGGCGAGGAGCCCGACGTGACGATCCAGCTCGAGCCGGACCTCGGCGCGCTCATCGAGAGCGTCGACGAGGGCGGCGACGCCGACGACTCCGCGCCCGCGGCGTCGGAGGCGGCGCTCGTGCGCACCCTCGGCTCGCTCAAGGCCGCGCAGGCCGAGGCGCGCGAGCTCCGGCGGAAGCTCGGCGCCGCGGAGACGTCGCTCGCGGCCGTCGAGCGCGAGCGCGCGCGCCTCGCGAGCGAGAACTCGTCCCTCGTCGAGATCGACGAGGACGCCGGCGCGCGGTCGCGGAGCGCGGCGGAGGCCGCCGAGGCCGCGCGCCTCGACATCGAGGCGCGCCTCGGCGAGGCGAACCGGAGCCTCGCCGCGGCCGACGCGCGCGGCGCCGCGGACGCGGACGCGCTCGCGGCCGCGCGGTCCGAGGCCGGGGCCTCCCGGAAGCTCGCGGCCGAGGCCCGGGCCGCCGCCGCCGCCGCCGAGGCCGAGGCGCGCACCGAGCGCGAGGGCCGCGCGGCCGACGTCGCGCGTCTCGAAGCCGACGCGCGGCGCCTCGCGGCCGCCGCGAGCAAACCGGCGCCCGAGGCCGCGGCCGCGGCCGAGGCGGCGACGCAGAAGGCGCTCGAGGCGCGCGCGGAGCTCGAGAAGGAGCGCGCGCGGAACAAGCAGCTCCACGTCGAGCTCGCGGGCGTCCGCCGCGAGCGCAAGTCCGCCGCGGTGTCCGAGGAGCGGGTCCACGCGCTCGAGCGGCTCCTGGAGAAGGAGATCCAGAAGCAGAGCGACCACGACGCCGTGCGCGGCGCGCGCGACGCGCTCCTGGGCGAGCGCGCCGAGTGGGCCAAGCGCTTCCGGGCCTTGCTGGGCGACGACGCCGGCGGCGACGACGCCGCGGTGCCGCGGAAAGCGCTCGACGCCGTCCGCGACGCGCTCGCGACCGCGCGGACCGCGGACGTGTCGCGCCTCGAGGCCGCCGCGGAGGCGGCGCGGACCCGGGCGGCGCTGGAGGCGGCGACGGCCGCGCGCGGCGCCGCGGAGACGCGCGCGGCCGCGGCCGAGGCGCGGAACGCGGACCTCGAGGCCGGCGCGCTCGCGTGGCGGGCCGCTCGCGCGCTGACGCGCCGCGAGCACGCGAGCCTGAAGGAGCTCGTGGCGACCTACGGCGANGAGGGCGACGTGACGCGGCGCTCCGGGCGCGGGTCGGCGAGCTGGAGGCGACCCTCGCGGACGCGGCGCGCGCGCTCGAGGCCGCGGCCGCCGCGGCCGCCGCGGCGCCGCGGCGCGCCGCGGCCGCGGCCGCGGAGCCGGCCGCGGCCGCGGACGACGCGGGCGAGTTCCGCGTGCTCCACCTCGTCGACAACCCGGCGGCCGCCGCCGCCGCGGCCCACGCGCTCAAGAAGAAGGCCGCCGAGGAGGCCCGGGCTAAGGCCGACGAGCCCAAGAACGTCGTCGACGGCGCCAAGCTCCACGCGCGGCTCAAGGAGCGGTTCCGCGAGCACCTCAGCTGGTTCCGCGAGGCCGTCTACCTGCTGACGGGCTTCAAGGTCGACATGTCGGCGCTCGGCGAGGACAACCCCCAGGTCCGCCTCCGCTCCATCTTCGCGGAGGACGAGGACGACGCGCTCCTCTTCGCCTGGGGCGACGACGGCGTCCAGCTCCTCGCGACGCCCTTCACGGACCGCCTCGACGAGCGCCTCTTCGCGTCCCTCAAGTTCTGCAACTCCGTCCCCGCCTTCCTCGCCAACGTCCAGCTCGACCTCTTCGAGAAGCAGACCCTCTGCCCCGGCTAGTAGGGGCCTAATATGCCTTCACCTTGAACTCGCTGCCCCGAGAGCCGCAACACGATGCTGAGCCCAAACGAAATGCTGCGATGGCTCGTCGCCGCGGTCGGCCTCGCGGGCGCCGCGACGATGACGGAGGACGAGCGCTGCCAGGCCTGCCTGCGCCTCGTGCACGACCTGCATCCCGCGCTGAAGACGCACGTGGAAAATCGGGCGACGATCCCCCGGGGCTACTGGACGCACGTCGTGGAACGCGTCTGCGCGCCGGGCACGCCCTGCGAGGGCGCCTTCCTGCTGCCCTACGGCGAGCACATCGCGCTGGAGCTCGCGGACCTCTTCGAGGCCGCCGACGGCGACCCGGACGACTCGAGCGTCAAGGAGCCGAACGCGCTCTTCTCCGCGGTCTGCGCGCCGGACTCGGTCACGTCCGCGTGCCGGCGGCGGCCCGCGTCCGAGGGGTACGCGCCCTCGGCGCCCGACGACGACGACGATAATTTGTGAGGTCCTTAGAGCGGGGGCGCCGAACGCGCCTCAGACGACGCCGAGGAGCAGCGCGCAGGCCTCGCCGCACTTGAAGCTGCCGTGGTCGCAGGTCGACTCCTTGGCCTTGCGGCCGTCGGCGCACTGGCAGTAGCCCGACGCGCCGGCAGGGACGGCGGCGTCGCAGGCCAGGTCCGCGCCGTCCTCGCGCGGGCCGCTCGGGACGCAGCCGCCCGTCTGCTTCCAGCCCTCGCAGACGCCCGCGGCGCCCGCGGCGGCGGCGGCGCACATGTCGGCGCAGGTGAAGGCCTCGTGCTGGCAGTCCGAGGGCGCCGCGCGCGCCCCGCCGGCGCACTCGCAGTAGCCCGACGCGCCCGCGGGCACCTCGTCGCCGCAGCGGCGGTCCGCGTCGCTCTCGCGCGGGCCCTCGGGCGTGCACCCGCCCGTCTGGCGCCAGCCGACGCAGGTGGCCGCGCCCTCCTTGGCCGCGGCCATGGCGGCCGCGAAGGGCGACGCCGCGGCCTCCGCGGCGGCCGCGGCCTCCGCGGCGGCCGCGGCCTCGGCCTCGACGCGCGCGGCCTCCTCCTCGGCGGCCTTCGCGGCCGCGGCCTCGGCCTCAACGCGCGCGGTCTCCTCCTCCTCGGCGGCCTTCGCGGCCGCGGCCTCGGCCTCGGCGGCCTTCGCGGCCGCGGCCTCGGCCTCGGCGGCCTTCGCGGCCTCCTCGACGCGCGCCGCTTCCGCCGCCGCCTCCTCTTCGGCGTTCGCCAGCGCGGCGTCGACGTCCTCGCTGGCGATCTCGGGCGCGTCCGCCTCGGGTTCCGGCTCGGCGGCCGCCTCGGGTTCGGGTTCGGGTTCGGGTTCGGCCTCGGCCGCGGCCTCCGGCTCCGGCTCCGCCGCCGCGGCCGCCGCCTCCGCCTCCGCCGCGGCGGCCGCCTCGGCCTCGACGCGCGCCGCTTCCGCCGCCTGCGCCTCGGCTTCGACGCGCGCCGCTTCCGCCGCTTGCGCCTCGGCTTCCAAGCGCGCCGCCTCCGCCTCGGCCTCCAAGCGCGCCGCCTCCTCTTTCTCGGCTTCCGCGCGCGCGGCCGCCTCCGCCGCGGCCTCGGCCGCGGCGACCTCGGCCTCGACGCGCGCCTGCTCCTCGGCGAGGGCCGCCGCCGCGGTCTCGTCGCGCTGGGCCTGGAGGAGCGCGAGGCGCGTCGCCTCGGCCTTGGCCTCGGCCCGGGCCGCGTCCTCCTCGTTCCTCTCCTCGACGGACGTGAGGCGCACGGTGGCCTCGCCCGTCGGCGACGGGTTGCCCATGCTCACGGGCGGCATGATGAGGGCCCCCGACTCGCTCTTGTCGAATCGCCCGAACGCCACGGACTTGGTGAACGCGAGCTCCTCGTCGGAGATCTGGCCCTTGTCGTGGAGCACGCCCATCGCGCTCAGCGACGACACGAGCGGGTTGAGCACCGTGGCCTCGTGGACGGCGTGGGCGAAGGTGACGTCGTTGAGCGTGCCGCGCTCCTTCATGGCCTCGAGCTCCTTGAGCTGCAGCGCGACGCCCTGGAGCCCGGCGCCGGCGGCGACGGGCGCGTCGACGCCGAGGGCCGCGGTCTGGAGCACGACGCCCGTGGCGTCGCCGCGCGCGCCGGCCGCGAGCGCGCCGGCGGCGACGAGGACGCGGAGCATGGGTTCCTTGCCGACGACGAGGGCTGCGACGACCGGTGACGAGGAACGGGGCTGCCCACGAAACGCGGCTCTATGGCGTTTCGTGCCGCTGCGTTGCGCGTTCCGTTGTGAGCGGGTCGGAGGTGCGCAGCTCGATGCCTCTCGTTGACGCTGTCACGCAGCTCGACGTGACGAGGTGTTGCTCAGCGCGGCTGCAGGAAGACCATGTCGCAGGTGCGCTTTCTCGCCGCTGTTGCACGTTTGACGCGCGCGCCGCAGGAGGACTTCGACGCCAAGGTCGCGTTCGTCAAGTCGTGGACCTACGGCGGCTCCAAAGTCACCAACGACGAGAAGCTCACGTGCTACGGCCTCTACAAGCGCGTCGCCCCGGCGCCGCAACGCGCGCGGCCGCGCGCCGACGCGCGCGGCGCAGGCAGGTGACCGTCGGCGACATCACGGACGCGCAGCCCTGGGCCGTCCAAATAGCGCGGCCGCGGCGTCCCGATCGCCGCCGCGCGCGCCCGCCGCCGCGACGCGCCGCCGCCGCCGCAGGAGGCGCGGGCAAAGTGGAACGCCTGGAACTCGCGCAAGGGCATGTCGAAGGAGGAGGCCATCAGCACCTACATCGCCGAGGTCGACGCGCAGCACGCCAAGTACGGCGACGGGCCCTAGGCGGCTTTTGGGATTGCGGTACTGGTGTAAGAGTCCCGGACGTCGTAGTTTGGATCCGTTCGTCTTACTCGCCGAGAGGCTTCAGGTGCTGGGGGGTTGCAGATTGGGAGCGTACTTGGAGATTTGTACGGCGCCCGGACTTTTTTTGCCACAGGCTTGGCACTGGTGGCACCTTGCAAATCCTCGCCCTCGACGCGGCGGTTTTGCTCCGCGCGAACGCGTGCGAAGCCAAATCCTCGGCCAAGACGCGACGCCACGCTCGCCGTCGACGCCCTCGTGTGAAAGATGTTCGGTCTCCCCGCCCTCAACGCCTTCTGGCTCTGCTTTGGCGCCATCTTCATCCCGATGAACCTCTCGGCCGCGGGAGATTGCCGAGGGTCGCTCGAGAGTTTCGTCGGCATCGAGCGCGACTGCGAGGGAGCCGAGGCCGGCATGACGAAGATCATGGACTGGCTCCTCGTCGGGTGGCTCGCGACGATCATGGTCCTCGCGCTCCAGCCGCGCGTCTTCGTTCGCGCGGACAAGTCGTTCGACGCCGTCGCGACGCTGGGCGCGCTGAATTGTTGGACCATGCGCGTTGCGTTGGTCCTTTACACCCTGATATCGTTGATCATATGCCTCGAGGCGACGCTGACGCCCGTCGCCGAAGCGGACGGCGACGTCTTCGCGCCGATGGCGACGGTCGCTTTCTTCTACGTCCTGCCTCTCTGCGTCGCGTGGCCCCTCGCCATCTTCAAGCACACGGAGCCCGTCACGGAATCCCGGCTCTTCGAGAACCGGGCCCTGGCGCCGTCCGGGCCCGTGACGACGGCCGCCGCGCTCCACGCGGAGAAGTTCGCGAACGCGGACCTGCGGACGGCCATCCAGGCGCTCGAGGAGGAGAACGAGCGCCTCCGCGAGTACATGGAATACCCCGGCCGCCGCTCCAGCCTCACGAGCCTGCCGTCTACTCCTAGATGAACGAGCGCCTCCGCGAGTACATGGACGGCCACGGCCGCCGCTCCAGCCTCAGGCTCACGAGCCTGCCGTCCTACTAGTACTCCGAGATGTTCAGCTAAGAGTAGATGCCCCCTGCCTACGGAAACGAAACAGCGACGCGTCTTACGCCCGCGCCTATGCGTCCGCCGGCGCGTCGTCGCCCGGCTCGGGCGCGGCCGGGTCCGCGGGCTCCGCGGCGTCGTCCGCCGGCGGCGCGTCGCCGTCGGGTGCGGCCTCGGCCTCGGGCTCGTCGGCGGGCTCGGGCTCGGGCTCGGGTTCCGGCTCGCGCATCTTGGCCTGGTCGACGCAGTACTGGAGCAGGTCGTCGACGAGCTTCGCGCCGAGGTCCGCGCCCCCGAGCTCCTCGTCGACGCGCGCGTAGAGCCAGGGGAGCGTCGTCGCCTTGATCTCGTGGAGCACGGGCTCGACCCAGGAGCCGCGGTCCTCGAAGTGGCGGTAGGCGCCCTCGAAGATCTCCGGCAGGAGCTGGTCGACGAGGCGCGAGCTCGCGACCTTGCGCGCGAGCGTCTGCTCCTCGACGAGGGCGGCCCGCGCCGACTCGAAGTCGCCGAGCTTGGCCTTCTCCCGGTCCACCTCGGCCTGCTCCATGGCCTCGACGCGCGCCTTCTCCGCGGCCTGCCGCGCGAGCTTGTCGGACATGTCGTCGGCGATGGCCGCGAGCTCCTCCTCCTGCTCGACCTCGAGCATGGCCTGCTCCAGGGTCTTGGACACGAGGACGGCGAGGAGGGGCTGGACCTCGTTGTTGAAGACGAAGGGCTGGTCGTCCTCCATGGACGTGGACGCGTCGACGCCCGTCTTCGGCGGAGCAAAGGGCGCGGGCGGCGGCTGCTCGAGGAAGCCGTCGGTCTGCGCCGCCTCCTCGACGGCGCTCGACGCGTATTCCTTCTCGACGAGGTAGGGCGTCAGGTCCAGGGCCTGCTTCGAGTTGCTCGAGGGCTTCGCGTCGAAGATGGACCGGCCGTCGGCCTTCTTCTTCTTCCGCCGCGCCTTGCGCGCCGGCGCGCCCCCGGGCGTCGGCGGCACCGTGTCCTCCATGGGCGCGCCGTCGCCGGGGAGCGACCGGTAGAGGCTGTAGGTCGACCCGCGGACGACGCGCGGGTCGCTCATGATGTTCAGGGGGCCGTCGATGTCGTTCAACAGCTCCGCCGTCGGCGTGGCCTTCGCCCGCGACGTCGACACGGCCTTGGGCCGCGACTCGAAGGCCCACGCCCCGCGGGACCCGCCCGTCTGCGCCACCATGGTGCGGGGCGACGCGGACGAGAGCTTTAGGCAGCGCCCTCGTTATTCAGGTGCTCCGTATCATTTTTATTGCTCCGTCCTGTCGATGCTGCCCTTCTCTCTCGGGCTGCCGTGCTCGTCGCGCCGCGCGGTGCCCGTCGTCGCGCCGCGCCATGCCGGCGGCGTTCGGCCACGCCAAGGGCGGCGGCAGCAAGTCCATGAAGCCCGCGCGCGACGTGCCCAAGTTCCAGCAAACGCAGAGCGCGACGACGCACACGATCATGAACACGATCAACGACGCCTACAAGCTTGAGGCCGCGGCGCACGACGCGAGGAAGCAGGAGCGCTTGCGCACGTACTGGGACTTCGAGCTCGTGCCCCTCGGCGGCGGCGCGCCCCTGACGCCGGCGCGGTACCGGCGCCGCGCGCACCTCGTCGTCAACACGGCCAGCCGCTGCGGCTTCGCGCCGCAGCTCCGCGAGCTGCAGGCCCTCTGGGCGCGCTACCCGGGCCTCGCGGTCCTCGCCTTCCCCTGCGACCAGTTCGGCGGCCAGGAGCCGGGCTCGGCGGGCGACATCCGCGACGCCTACGACCGCTACGGCGTCGATTTTCCCGTCTTCGAGAAGAGCGACGTCAACGGGCCGCGCGCGCACCCGCTCTTCACCTACCTGAAGAAAGCCACCGCGGGGCAGCCCGTGCCGAACAAGGGCCTGCCCCGCGACGAGGTCCAGTGGAACTTCACGAAGTGGCTGATCGTCGACGGCGAGGTCCTCCGGCGCTACTCCTTCGACGCGAGCCCCAAATCCGTCCTCGCGGACGTCGTCTACACGCTCAAGCTCAAGGAAGTGATCGAAGAGGCGCCGCCGGCCCGGCCCGTGGAGGTGGAGAAGCCGGAGGCGGTGGACGTTCCGAAGCCGGCGGTCGTGCCGAAGCCGGCGCCGCCGGCGGCCGACGAGCCCGCGGCCGTCGTGCTGCACCACGCGCGGATGACCGTGAAGCTGCAGCTCACGGCGAAGCTCCGAAGGGACGGCACGGTCGCGCTCCTGAAGAAGCAGTTCGCGAAGGCGTGGAACAAGGACCCGTCCCGGCCGCCGCTCGCGAGGGACGCGGTCGCCTTCCGGAAAGCCGGAGACGTTCTCGACGCCGCCGCGCCGCTCGCGACGGCCATCGCCGACGGCGATGTGCTCGAGGCGCTCGTGAGTTAACTCCGATTATTTCTTAAATGTTCAACTCGCCTTCAAGCACGCATTGACAAAGCGAGCTTGCCACTACTGCCGCAATGATGATGCTCCGTCGCGCCCTAGCAACCAGTTCGCGTCGTGCACGACGAACGGCATCGCTCGCGACGCTGCATCGAGCACAGCGACCAGCATCACTCGCGACGCGGCATCGAGCACGAACGGCATCGCTCGCGACGCTGCCCGATCAGGGCGACGACCTGCTCGACGCGGTGCACAGCGTCGACGACTTCCAGCGGCTCGCGGAGACACTCCTGGACCGGCCGCTCTACGAGTACCTCGCGTCGGGCAGCGGCGACGAGGCGACGCTGCGGGACAACCGCGCGGCCTTCGGCCGCTACGCGCTGCGGCCGCGCGCGCTGCGGCCCGTCGAAGGCCTCTCGACGGCGCGGACGCTCTTCGGCGCGGAGCTCAACTTACCCGTCTTCGCGTCGCCCGCGGGCGTGCACGCGCTCGTCGACGGCGCGGGCGAGCGCGCCACGGCGCGCGCCTGCGGCCGCGCCGGCGCGCTCTTCGGCCTCAGCCAGCACGCGACGGTGAGCATCGAGGACGTCGCGGCCGCGGCGCCGAAAGCGCACCGCTGGTACCAGGCGTACCTGCTCAAGGACCGCGCCGCGACGCGCGACCTCGTGCGGCGAGCGGTGGCCGCGGGGTCGCGGGGAATCTTTCTCACCGTCGACTCCGTGCGCTTCGGCTTCCGGGAGGCCGACGCGCGCAACGGCTTCTGCGCGCTGCCGCCGCCGTTGACGCTCGCGAACTATCTCGCGACGCCGCCGGGCGAGAGCGCGGCGGCCTGGGAGACGCGCGAGCACCGCGCCTGGGACCAGAACTCCGAGGCGCTCTTCGACACGGCGGCGTCCTGGGACGCCGTGGCCTGGCTCCGCGAAGAGCTCGACGATTTGGACCGGTCGATCCCGCTCGTGGTCAAGGGCGTCATGACGGGCGAGGACGCGGCGCTCGCCGTCGCCCACGGCGCCGACGGCGTCTTCGTGAGCACCCACGGCGGCCGCCAGCTCGACGAGACGCTCGGGAGTTTGGACGTTCTGCCGGAGGTCGTCGCGGCGGTGCCGTCGGGCACGCCCGTGCTCCTCGACTCGGGCGTGCGCCGGGGCACGGACGTCGTCAAGGCCCTCGCCCTCGGCGCGACGGCCGTCGGCGTCGGCAAGCCGCTCTTCTTCTCGCTCGCCGTGGGCGGGGAGCGCGGCGTGGACAAACTCTTTGACATCCTCGAGGAGGAGCTCCGCGTCGCCATGGCGCTCACGGGCTGCGCGTCGCTCGACGACATCACGGCCGACGTCGTCTGCGCGCGACCCTAGCTCGCCGACCGCCGTTCCCCGCTCTCGCGTTCGCCATCCGTCCGTCGCCGCGCGCCCGACCCCCGTCGCTTCAACTAACGATGTCGCCTTCAAGTTACAGCTTGCACCTCCAGGGGGTCCCTCGCGCGTCGCTTCAACCAAACGATGTCGCCTTCAAGTTGCACACTCCGCAAAGCCGGGCGACGAGGTGGGGCGCCTCGGAGAAGCGCGTTTCGAGCGCCGTTCGCGCGCCGCCATGTCGGCGCTGTCGCTGCAGTCGCTCGCGGAGCGCGCGCGCGACGCCGGCGCGACGCTCGTGGACGCGATTGCGGGCACGCCGCCCTACGCGACGCGGCTCGCGCGCGTGTCGGCGCGGAGTGGCTACCTCTGCGGCCTCGCGCCCAACGCGGAGTGGCAGCGGCGCTACTTCGTGCTCAAGCCGACGACGATGCTCTACTACTTCGGATCCGACATGGACGAGGAGCCCCTGGGCTGCGTCGACGTCGAGGCGTTCACGTCCGTGAGCTGCCGCGACGTCGACGGGAACGGCCGCGTCGTCATCGAGCTCGCGCGCGCGCCCGGCGAGGGCGGCGGCGCGTCGCCCGACGACGCGGGGCTCACGTTCCGGCTGCGGAGCGGCGGCGAGGAGGAGGGCTACGCCTGGATCGATTCCCTGAAGAACGAGAGCTACGCGCGGCTCAAGGAGACGAACGAGTTTTTAGCCAAGCAGTGCGACGAGTTCGCCGGCGAGATCGCGCGCCTCGAGGACGTGGCGAAGCGCGCGGCGGAGGACGCCCTGGTCGCCCAGCGCGAGGCCCAGTCCGCGCGGTCGCGCCACGAGCTCCTCTTCGGGGGCGTCGACGCGCTGTTCGAGCGGCTGAACCGGCGGCCGCCGGACGAGCGCCGCGACGGCGACCGATGGGGCGGCCGCGACGGCGACCTGCTCTCGGGCTTCGAGGCCCTCGTCGAGGAGCGGCTCCGCGACGTCGCGGCCCTCGAGCGCGGCGAGGCCGCGCGCGCGGCCGCGGAGCGCGACCGCGACCGGGGCCGCGCCGAGGCCGCGGCGCGCGACGCCGCGGAGCTCCGGCGCAACGCCGACGAGCTGAAGCGGCTCCGCGACGCGAACAAGCTGCTCAAGGACCAGCAGG